TCAGGACAAACTGCTGAGAAATAAGGCAGACTTACCCCAAATTAGTGATTATTCTATTATTAGATATACCAACCCTGAAACAAAAGTAAACTTCTGTCTTACCACATTGGTTAACTAGAAGTCAGAAATGCAGTCTCCTTAGGCATTCCAGCACTCATTTCACCACCCAGACACTAGACTTTATGATGAATCATAGAATCATAGAATATCAGGGTTGGAAGGAACCTCAGGAGGTCATCTAGTCCAACCCCCTGCTCAAAGCAGGACCAACCCCAACTAAATCATCCCAGCCAGGGCTTTGTCAAGCCAGGCCTTAAAAACCTCTAAGGATGAGTTTTTATTGAAAACCAATTTCATGAGACAAAGGATCTGTAGCGGGGTAGACACCCGCTCCTGCCTTGAGGGGTTAGAAAAGCCCTGCAGAGGGCTGGGGCTGGGCAAGGTAAAACCCTGGCTGATTGGGGGAAGTGACTGCAGCTGGGCCACACCCTAATCATAGCCCAGATGGCCGGTATAAAGAGGCTGGGAGCCAGGAGCCCACAGAGTCTCTTGCTGTGTTCAGGGAGAGAAGGGCCTGGCTGCAGGGAGCTAGACACAGGGTACCTGTAGTGGAGCAGGGCTGGGGAAAGGCTGAGGAGCTGGGGAGCACCAGCCTGGAAAGCCCCAGGCTGCGGTCTAGTATTAGGCCAAGGGGTACTGGGGGTTGCAGAGGGCAGCCCAGGGCGAGTCCAAGGCAGCAGGTCCAAACCCCCCTTGCCAGTGATGAGTGGCCTATACTGCAGTCTGCCCCAGGGAGCGGGGGCTAGTTGGTGACTGGTAGTGGCCTACTGCTGAGGCAAGGTGGGGATAGTGGGTGGGGGTTCCCCAGGGAGGGGAGACCCAGATCTGTGGGGTACTGCTGGGGGGCAGCATCCTAGTAATAGGTGCACCGGGTCCTGGGAGGGACACGGGCACCAGAGGATGACAAGTCGGATCACTGGCCTGTAGAGGGTGTTCCAGAGGCTGGTGAGCTAATTCCCTGGACGACCAGCAGGAGGTGCCGCAGGGGTGAGGCTGGATGTCTACATATGGTGGAGAATGCGGGCATAGGCGGTCCACCCCTGACACAAGGGGCAAGGCGAGGACAGCAGGACTATTGCCTGGACTGGGGAAACTGAGGAATGGGACAATGGATCCTGTATACCGCTGGGTATATTATGCAGAGACCCCGGGGGTTGTCCCTGGGTGGGGCCCGGCGTCAGAGGCCCAGTGGAAGGGGGATGACGGCCTGAAGGGGGCCCAGGAGACCCAGGATGGACTGTGGGAGGCGCTGTGGGCCCTCCAGGCACAGATCGGCCAGCTGGCGAAAGAGCAGCGGGCCGTGCGAACACTCCTGAGGAGGGAGTATACAAGAGACCGCGGAGGCCGTGGGCCACAGAGTGCCAGGGCCAGGAGGCCCGTGACGAAGGCTTGCTACGCCTGCGGTCAGGCTGGACGTTTAAAACTGGACTGTCCCGACGGGGCTGGAGGCAGAGGACCTCACCCCGCAACGCAACGGTGCCCGATCCCTCAAGTAGGCCGCGGGGTGAGGAAACCTTGGTGGCTGAGGGCATGTTGGGCCTGTGGGCGCAGGGGGCACTTGGAGCGGGAGTGCCCCGGCCCCAGGAATACGGCCCAGGGCAACCCACGGAGGGTTGGCCCAGTGAAGGACAAAAGGAAAATACCAAGGCCCGGAGCAGCACAGAGGCGGGATGCCTGCTGGGGCTGTAGGGAGCCCGGGCATATAAGGAGGCACTACCCCCTCAGAGGAACTGAGGAGAGGCCAGAGGAGGTGCCTGTGAGGCCAGAAGGGCCAAAACTGTGGGAGGTGGCGACAGGGATGGAGGGATCCCTGCAGGAGGCAGGAACCCAGACCAGCCCGGGGTTTGTCGCCGATGATGAGACCCAGACCGGATGGGCCCAGGAAGAGGCTGGGACCCCAAGTGGTCCACGATCAGGCCACCAAATGGATCCAGACCCTGAGGGTGGGGGGTCAGGAAGATGGCCTGGGGGACCAGGACCTGCGGACGCGGCTAGAGGCCACGGATGGCAGAGGCGGGACTCCAAAAAGCCCACCAGGAGAGGGAAGACCTGGCTGTCAAACTGAAAGACAGTGAGGAGAAGCAGGTGCGGCTGGCGAGACACCTCCGGGCCACACAGGCCAGAAGGCCCCTTGATTCCCTGGGGTGGGGGTTTTGAGGGGGGAGGTGTGTAGCGGGGTGGACACCCGCTCCCAGGGCCGGCTCCAGGCACCCAAGCTGGTGCTTGGGGCGGCACCTGGAGGGGGGCGGCGCGGCGCTCTGGCCGCCGGGGGGAGAGCCGAGCCCCAGCCGGGGCTCGCCGCCCTCTCGCGGCCCTGCCCCCGGCGCTCTGGCCGCCGGGGGGGGGGAGAGCCGAGCCCCCGCCGGGGCTCGCCGCCCTCCTCCCAGGGCTCTGGCCGCCCTCCCCTCCGGCGCCCTCCCCCCGGCCGCCAGGGGGAGAGCGGAGCCCCCGCCGGGGCTTGCCGCCCTCGCCCCGGGGCTCCGGCCGCCCTCCCCCCCCGGCGCCCTCCCCCCGACCTCCGGGGGGAGAGCGGAGCCCCCGCCGGAGGTCCGGCCGGAGGCTTTTTTGCCTGGGGCGGCAAAAAAGCCAGAGCCGGCCCTGCCCGCTCCTGCCCTGAGGGGTTGGAAAAGCCCTGCAGAGGGCTGGGGCTGGGCAAGGTAAAACCCTGGCTGACTGGGGGAAGTGGCTGCAGCTGGGCCACACCCTAATCAGAGCCCAGATGGCCGATATAAAGAGGCTGGGAGCCAGGAGCCCAAAGAGTCTCTCTCTGTGTTCAGGGAGAGAAGGGCCTGGCTGCAGGGAGCTAGACACAGGGTACCTGTAGTGGAGCAGGGCTGGGGAAAGGCTGGGGAGCGCCAGCCTGGAAAGCCCCAGGCTGCGGCCTAGTATTAGGCCAAGGGGTACTGGGGGTTGCAGAAGGCAGCCCAGGGCTAGTCCAAAGCAGCAGGTCCAAACCCCCCTTGCCAGTGATGAGTGGCCTATACTGCAGTCTGCCCCATGGAGCGGGGGCTAGTTGGTGACTGGTAGTGGCCTAGTGCTGAGGCAAGGTGGGGATAGTGGGTGGGGGTTCCCCAGGGAGGGGAGACCCAGATCTGTGGGGTACTGCCGGGGACGGCAAGTCGGATCACCGGCCTGCAGAGGGCGCTCCAGAGGCTGGTGAGCTAATTCCCTGGACGACCAGCAGGAGGCACCGCAGGGGTGAGTCCGGACGTCTACAGGGTCCTTCTAATCCCAAGAGATCAGCCACACAGCAAGGTCAATATATAGCTCAGTTCTTACCTAATAATCACGCTGTTGCCAATCCTTTAGTATCTAATATATAAAGGTTTATTTATAAGAGAAAAGAAAGAGGAGAGAGTTCAAATGGTTAAGGAAATCAAATACATATAATCCTTGCAGAGTTCTTAAATCAGGTTTGAAGCAGTGATGGAATAAACTGCTGGCTTGTAAAGTCCTCAGTTCATTGATTGGAATGCTCCTTTTAGTGTAAGTCTATAGTCCAGAGATCAGAGCAGGAAAGAGGCAAAATGGAGATGCTTTCAGGGTCCTTTATATCTTCTCCCAGGTGGAGGGCCTGCTCTCAGTCTCTTTTTGTGGAAAAGTACAGGCACAAGATGGAGTCCAGGGTCACATGCCCTTGCATTCTTTGATAACTCATAGGAGCAGCCATTACCCATATTTTGGCTAAAGCATCCACAACTCACTGGGCATCTTCTTCTATGGCCCATTTTGTCCTTTAATGGGCCATCCACTTGAATGGTCCATGTGCAATGTGCTGACTAGACTGGATGTAAACTACCTTGTGGGTGTTACCCCAGAAGCAAACACATGAAATACTGGTACATAATCAATACTTATAACTTTAGATACAAAGATGATACATGCATATAAACAGGATAATCGTATTTGATAGACTGAATCTTTTCCATTGATATCTTACATGGCATACTTTGTACAAGATTTGTTTCAATTGTCTAATAGTGGTACTATTAATCATATAAATGGTCATATTTCAATCATACAGATTCATGTGTGTTCACCAAACATACCCACTACATTAATAAGTGGGTGAAACAGTTTATCTCAGTTCTTAGGTGGCCCCATCACTCTAGTTGCTGAGTCCCTCACAGTGCAGCCGGGAGCTAGGAGCCCTGTTCTATAGCTGGACCCACAGTCATCCTTGGGTAGGGCAAATCGGGGTGACTGTGCTGGGCAGAGGACGAGGAGATTAGCAGGGAGGCTGATTTGTCCCGGGCCCTGCACCCCCCTAGGGATGGCCTTGTCTGGACCTTAGGCACAGAGAGCAGACATGACATGCCCAAGGTCACGCATTAGACCGAGCTTTCTTGAGCCCAGTCCAGTGCTTTTACCACAATGCTGACCATCCTGGCAAATACTCCAAATTTGCACTGAAATTTCAAGGCTGCCTGAGAATTAGTGATTAGGCTGAAACATCAGGAGGCCTGAGAGAGACTGAATGTAACTAACTCCTCTGGAATTGTTCCATACCACCAGAGTTAACACTTCATACCAACGCAAAAGTGCCTTTTGTGATCTTCAATGACCCCAAGTGGTCCTGGGCTGTGCTGTTCATCTCCTCTGAAAGATGAAGCATAGGAAAGACCAAACAGGGCCAAGTAAACAGCTAGACCAGATGAACTCTTAGGAAACAGAGCATCTCTTCAGACAAGTGCCCTAAGTAAAGAGAGAAGGAGAGGAAGGATATAGGAGAGCTTCTGATATGGTATCAGGCTGGCTTCTGTATTAGGGACCAGATCTGGAAATCAGCATCACTCCACAGAAGTCAGCAGAACTATGTCAATTTACATCAGCTGAGGATCTGGCCCCAGTTCCCTCATCCGAGGTGTTCTGCATGGCACCGGCCCCACTTTTGTAAGTTTTGCTCCATCCATGGTGACCTTCTAAACTCCCTCTTGCAGCTTAACCAAGATAATGACGTCTCCCTCCCGCCCCCTGAGGCTGTAGCTGAGATTCTGCCAGATAAGCAGATGCTCCTATATGAAAAGGCAGCCGCCCCAGCAGACAGTGACGTGGATGATGCGGACATGCTCAGAAGGTATGGGGAGCAGTGTTCCAGCTTGGGCTGGAAATCTTTGTCTCTGGTAGATGTGTCCTTAGCCACCTCCCCTGGTTCCTCCTGCACCAGCTTCTTCTTCCTGCCTCCCATTGGGGTCCGGATAGTCCATTGCTAGTGACATTTTACGAACATAGGGATTGGCTGATTGAACCAACCCCAAGGTCCATCTAGCCCAGTATCCTGTCTCTGTCATGGCTTCAGAGGCAGGTGTGAGATCTCTGTCTTGGGAAGCTAGGGAATAACCTGCTCATATCAGAAGTTCTCTCCTAACCCCCAGCACTTTTTTTGAGAATATTTTGCCCCTGCTAGTAAGAGAATGACAGTCCTGACTGGAGCCAACGACAGTGTGTGGAGTGGTGGGCAACCTTCCCTGTGACCCCCTCCCTGCACCCATCCTGCAGTCCTGTGCCCCACACACTTGGGCCAATGACCTTCCATCCTGATATGTCTCACCACTGAATCGTGTTGAATTGGGCCAGGCTTCCTAGTGGCTTCCTAGTGCATCCCAAGGGCTGGCTGGAAGTCTCTAGCAGACTCACTTCACTAGGGCCACAAGTGAGATTGCACCCTGGCCCCAGTGGTGCAAGGGCGCAGCATTAGCATGGGGCCCACACATCCCAGCTCACTGGGCTTTGACTGGTTTTCTGGGGAACTTCCAGCCTCCCAGCTGACTCACAGGCCCAGCCAGGTAAAGTCAAACCACCTCTCACCATCTTCTGCTCAGCCCTCTCCCCTCCTCCTCCAGTACTCCTCTGCCTCATTGGGCATAGTCTGCCCACTTCTGAGCTGGGTCTTCCTGGGGCCAGCCTGGCCAGCTGCTGGCCTGGTGGAACAGCACAGTGCAGTAGGAATCACTTCACACCACAGAGGTCTGCCCATAATGCATTGCAGTGGGATCCAGCATGCCATTCAGCAGCGGGGCCTAGTTCAGAAGGCGGTGAGCTGGACAAGTTAGTCCATGGTAGGGGAAAGAGCTAGAGGATATGGGGCGACAAAAGACAGGTGCGATTTAAGGACCCAACATCCTCTGCAAGGCAAAAGGCCCAAACCCCCCCCCCCCCCCCCCCCCACACACACACACACCTGCACCCCTCTCACAGCCCAACTTTATCCTGCCTGCCCAACTGCCAGCTTCCAGCTTGCCTGTCTTCTGGAAAGCCCTCCTCCAGCATTGGGTTTCCATCTCACCCAGTACAGTTGGCACAGGCTTCCCCAGGGCCTTGGGCAGGAGCGAGCTGGTTGAGACCCCACCTTGACAGCACAGAGCTGATGCCTGGAGACTGGGGCAAGCTGCCAGAAGAAATGGCATTCCTTAATGGGGAGTACACCTGTTTCTCTGAATGGCATGGCTAGTGACTTGGGGCTGCTCCTGGATGCTCAGTTAGCTGTGGTGGCTGAGAGGTTTTTTTTTGTTTTTTTTTTTCCATCTACCTTTGGCAAGAACCTAGGGACATCTCCACTGTCATCCAGGCCCTGTAAGATCCAAACTGGGACCTGATCCAAGGTCCATTGAAATCAACAGTCATTGACTCTGATAGGCATTGGATTAGGCCCTGGATTAGTGCAGTGGGCTACTGGCTGCCTGCCAGACTAGCAGTGGCTCAGAGCAGGTGCATGTCACCCTGTGCTCCAAGATCTGCACTGGCTCCCAGGCAGTTTGAGGTGTTGGGTTGGTTTGATGGTGCCCAAAATGGCTTGAGACCTACCTGCTTCCTCTCTCAGGCAGGGAGGGACAAGGGACACTAGTTATTTCTTGCTCTGATGGGCTTGTAGGTTGCCTGGCTCCCATCCCTGACCCTTTGCTTTCTGTTCTGCAGAACCCAGGATGTCACCAGGTTCCATCTGGATCAGGTGAGTAAATGGGGCTGCTCGTTTTCACTCCTAGAGGAGACATGATGGTAAGGTACCAGGAGGGCAATGGACGAAGCAGGCTAGAAATGTGGGTAACTGGGCACTTCAGGTCTGGCAGGGTACAGCTAACATTGGCCAGACAGGAAAGGGGTGGGATGTGAGGCAGGGAGGGAAATGAGCGAGAGGACAACATGGTGCTCAGTGGGCAATGGTTGTAACACTCTGTGGAGACTGCTGGGCTTAAGCAGTGCCAGGTGGGTGGGAAGTAAGCAGCACGGGTAGGTGGAGGCCTGTTGTTAATCAATGGCTGTTGACTGTTTCATGTTGTTCTCGAGTGAGCTGCAAACCAAACCCCCAAGGATTCATCCAGCTGTAGTGCACCATTCTGTGTTCTGGCTCTGCAGCCTGTCTGTTGGAGGAAGGGCTAAATGAAGTGTGTGGCTTGTAACTTCCCGGGATAACCATGGGAACAAGATCCATTCCATTGATAACATACAGATAAATAGCTTGGCAGCGTCATTGTGTAGGTGCAATGAGGACCTGGATTTTCCATTAAGGCTTGATCCATAGCCAACTGCAGTCAGTGAGCGTCTTTCCATTGATTTTAACAGGGTTTGAATCAAACCTGCAGCTAACTCTGTGTGTGACATGCACAGGGCCTCCCACCTAGATACCAGCAACCTACAGAGAGCAGGAGAAGCAAGAGCAAATAGTGAGACATCCCAGCCAGCAGGCCATCTTAGTATTTGCAATGAAATGCTGCCATCTGCAGAAAAGAATAGGAAGTGCCGGAGCATTATGCAGAATTGATCATGAAGGGATTTGATTTGAGCAGGGATTTGATTTTGTTTAAATTGTTTCACACTTTCAAAAGAAAAAAATCCTTTTGTAGTGGTACAAAAAAAAAAGAATTGAAATTTCCCACAGAACAAAATTCTGGGGAAAAATTGGGGCAGCTGGAGTGTGAGTGTGAGATACAAACATGGAAAGGGAATAGTCAGAGAGAGAAAGGTAACCAAGATGTGTTTCTGTATTTCCTTGCAATGAGCAACAGTACATCGGACAGGGGGTAATTAGATACAGGCTAGTCCCAGGTGGCACCAAACTCCAGGCTGGGATTTCTCATGGACCATCAGCAAGCAAAGTCTGTGTTACATAGAGCAACCTATCCAGAGTCAGGTCAGAGATTAGGGGTTCCTGGCTTCTAGTGTCATGCTCAGTCCAGTGAACCATATTGCCAGCCAGCAAAAATGAGGGGAGATAGCAGAGCAAACCCGTTCTGTGAATGCCTGTCGATCTAACTGCAGAACTCTTCTGGGTGAAGGTTTCAGATGGGGCAGCTTCCCTAGCATCCCAGACAGCACAGTTCACATGGCCATGTGCCAGCAGCAGGCTCCAGCACTTCAGGACTCTGACAGGCTCCTTCAGGACTCTGACAGGCTCCTTCCATAGCATCACAGCATGGAGAGCTCATGTAGGACCAAGAGAAATTACAGGCCCCCCTCCCCAAAATTGTTGACCTTAACAGGCTGGCCTGACCCAGCTTTCAAGCCAAGGAGGGGACTCATCAAAGCTGCTCTTGGGCCACCTCTCTTGGGTTCAGAATGGTATGAAGTACTCCCTGCCAGAAGGTCCTCTCTTGTTGATTGTGTAACTATCCTACTGGGTGCAATAGGGAAATCTGTGCTGCCTACAGGAGATGGTTTAGAAACCTTGTAAAAAGGCTCTCACTCTCTGTTAAATTCTGTAGGGTTTGGGAGTCATGTTTATCAGGATCCCATAGGTTTCATCCCTATTAAATTCTATATGGCTTTCCGATAAGGGATGCCCTGGAAGGACAGCTTGTGTGGCAGGGTGGGGGTTGCAATATTGGGGCCCCTTTGGCACATGGGTCCCAGAGTGACTAATTTGACTGACTGGGTGCTAATCGGCCGCAGTGCCTGACGCACACCGGCAAGGCTGGCGCCCCACTGAAGTGGAGAAATGGGACTCGTGCAATTTCCAGCTGATAGTCTCCCCTGTTTAAAAACAAACAGGCCTCCTCAAGGCTTCGAGCCATGCACAACTCTCCCGAAGGCCAGCACCAAGGCTGAGAGCTGCCGAGGTCAGCAGTACTGGCACACAGACAGCTCTGTCATGGCCGTCTCTGCCCAAAGCCCTGAGCAATACAGCTGTGGCAGCTGTTGGAGGGGCTGACTCCCTTTCAAATCAGACGTGACTGCTTTCTCCTGTAAAGGCAGCTGCTTGTATGTCTGGCACAACCTGTTGTCTCCTCACCTGATTCCATCAGTGCCACAAACTATTTATCTGGAGCAAATACAATGGCCTGCCAAGGTTATAGCTTCATAGATTTTTAAAGTCATTATGATAATCGACTCTGACTTCCTGCATAACACAGGCCACATAACCTCACGCAGTAATTTCTGCATCAAATCCATGACTTCAGTTGGAGCTATAGCATCTCTTTTAGAAAGAGATCCAGTCTTGCTTTAAAGACTGCAAGCGATGGAGAATCCCCCACATAATTAATTACCCTCACTGTTTAAAAAGTGCACCTTAGTCTGAATTTGTCTCGCTTTAGCTTCCAACCATTGGATCTCATTTTCTGCTAAGTTAAAAGCTGTCTACTATCAGAAATCTATTCCCTATGGAGGTAGACTGTTCTCAAGTCATCTGTTAACCTTCTCTTGGATAAACTAAATAGATTGAGCTTCTTGAGGCTCTCATTCTATAGCAGGTTTTCCAGACCTTGAATCTTTCTTGTAGCTCTCTTCTGAATCCTTTCCAATTTTTCAACATCCTTTTTGAAGTGTGGACACCAGAACTGGACACAGTCTCTAATACTGGGCTCACTAATGCAATACACAGAGGTAATTCCAGCTCCATACTCCTACTTGACATGTCCCTGCTTATACAGCCAAGTATCATGTTTGCCCTCTTAGCCACAGCATTGCACTGAGAGCTCATGTTCAGTAGACTGTCTACCATGCCCCCAAATGCTTTTCAGAGTCACCACTTTCCAGGATACAGTCACCCATCTTCTAAATGTGACCTACAATCTTTGTTTCTAGAAGTATGACTTTGTATTTGGCTGTGTTAAAACATATGATGTTCAAATGAGCAGCCCTTACCAAGTGATGCAGGTTAATCTGTATAACTGACCGATCCCTGGCTGGAAGTTGAAGCTAGACAAATTCAGACTGGAAATCAGGTGTAAATTTTTAACAGTGAGGGTAATTAACCACCAGAACAACTTATTAAGATTGGATGGGTTCTTTAAAGACATGATCTAGTTCAGAAGGAATTACTTTGGGGCAGTTCTCTGGTCTGTCTTATACAGGAGAGCAGACTAGATCATCACAGTGGTCCCTTATGGCCTTAGAAACTATGAACACCTGTGATTATTTACCACTCCACCAGTGTTCCTGTTGCCGTGCCAGGGGATGAGAGAAAGAACTGAGATTTGGGAGGCTGCTTCTCAATCCACATTTGCTCTGTCTCTCTCTGTGAAAATGGACACCTCTGGGGCCTGATTCTTAATGGAGTTACTCCTGGTTTACACTAGGCGAGATCTTACCCCTCCCATTAGGAGAGAAGGATTTTGCTGCATGCCCTTTAGCACTGCCAGTATGTAGCTGATATTGACCAGAGTTGATGTTAAGAATAGAAAGCTCGTGCACTGTGGAACAAGAGTGCATGACAATGGGATATACTGGCCATAGCTCAAACTTCATTGTCCACTCATTGTAACTTACTCCAAGGGCTTTCCCATTTCTGGTGGCTCATGGTCAAGCAACCGCCCCTCATCCATCATGAGAGCTCCAGCCATTCACAGGGCTCGAGGGACAAATCAGCATTTGCCAGACGTTCCTAGCATAGCAGCATCAGAGTGGCCACAGTCTTTCCTTCTACTTAAAGTGGGAACCCTTAGCAGATACTGCCCTTTTACTAGCGACTGCTGAGTGCAGTGTCAGAAGCCATCCAGCGTGCAGAGTACATATCACCCCATTGTTAGCTCCCATTCTATTGGAGTTCTGCTCAGAATAGTGTTGCCTCTGAGGCGGATGTTTGAAAGGATCTGAAATTGCTTTATTTCCTTGTTTTTCCTGCTACATTTTCTCCCACAACCTGTGTGCCCTGCAGCATGTGTGATGCCTCCCTGAAGGGTGGCAGAAGAGCCAAGAGTTGTGCCTGAAAAGCTGCACTGAGCTGAGACTAAATGTAGGTGTCTCGGAGGCAGTGTGCTGCTGCTTGACTTGTACTGCAGCAGAGGATTTAGCCTGGAGTCTGAGGTGCCTCTTGCTTAGGTCACAAGTTCAAACCACTCATCAGCCAGAAAGGTAATCACCCAATGCTCCTTGAAGTCGGGGGTCATATTTTGTGTATGGGAGTGAGTGTTGGCTCCTAAGAGGATGTATAAGAGACCTGCTACGCAGCTGGCATGTTCATCAGCAGATCAGGTACATTGTCCCTGGGCATGCATGGACACAGCATGGCAGGTGTGATCTGCCTGAATGTAGCTGACACGTTCATCAGCAGAGAGGTGACCAAGAATCAGACCGTGTCAACAAAGTGTGACAGCTCAGCAGGTATGATCTACCTGTATGTAGCAGGGAGCCTTGACAGCCCAGAAGTGTGCTATACCTAGGCCTAGCTGGATCTCAGGGAGGCCCAGCAGCTATGTTCTGTATATTTGGTAGCACTGTTAGATCTGGAACGCCAGGCAGCAATCTCTGCCTCACTGCAGCCTGCAGTTCTGTGTGCTGTGAAAGTGGAACTTGGCCGCACTCCCTGAGCCAGTGCTCTCCTAGCTCTAACCTTGGCCAGAGCACACGCTGCTCTTGGCTAATGCAGCTGGCTGTTGTTTTTGTTTCCTCCATTCCTGAGATAGGGCTCTGAAGTCTGCCCTTGCCCCTGGGCGCTAACTCCAAACCATGGCAACGTTATCATCTCCCTGTTTGTCTTCTACCAAGTGCCTCCATGCACAGCAGGCTGGGGGC